GGTTCACGAACCTGAAATAATATGTTACAGAATTCACAGCAAAAGACATAAACAAACAAGGAACAATCCAGTTGAAAAGTTTTAAATTAAAAGCAAACGCTCACGGTGACTTGTACTTGCACACCAAGTTTAGCACTGGGCCTACTGCCTTTGCCAAATGAATAACTGCAAATACAAAAAGGATAATCATGCCTTCCAGTGATGATGAGCATTTAAGAAAATGCAGTACCCATTTTGTAAACCTAGTATGCAGGAATATTTTTTTCTATGTCTTTAGGCCATTTGGAATCTAAGAATTTTAGAGTGTTGTCTTATTTAACAGAGTGGACAGCTTTGTGCCTGAGGCACTTAAATTGCAGTAAATCAAATTCACTTCACTTAGAATGCTCCTGAGTAAAGTTAATTGAAAAGAGTAGAAAAGCTTATTTCTTTTTGTCAACATGAGAAATACAGAGAAGAATCTCCAATGAAGGAACTTTTATTTGGGAGTAAGACTGCAACCTGGAATACACATGAGAGGCCTCTGCTATGTCCAGAGGACTCAGGAAAGGTTGGGATTTTCATTAGGATGGAAGAAAGCTCCTCTTCACTTTTGGAGCTTGGGGAAATGGCAAGCTGTGAATAGTGAATGGCAATAGTTATGGAGTCAAGCTGGTTTTAAGGTCACAGCCAGCAGTTGCATGGAAAGTTGCTAAGAAGAAAACACAGCCTTAAAGCCTAGGCTGTGTGTGTCTCTGGAAGGGACAGAGGGGTATCACAGAGTGGGCCTGGGACAATTGTGACCTGAACATTTTACCCCAAAAAGTGGCCTCTTAGCACTATTTTAAATGGGTCCAACAACAGTGCTTTCATTTGCTCAATTTCCACACCTTCAGGGTAAATAAAATTTCAGATTGTGTTTGCTATGATAGCTAATTCTGGGGATGGGTCTAAGGAATGCATTGTGAGGTGATTTTATTTCATTGCTGTGAGAACATCAGAGTCTATTTACACAAACTAAGGCATTATTACATCACTGTCACTAGCTGATATAATATTATGGGACTAAGGAAGTTAACCTCAGAAGTAGAGAGCAGAATAGTAGTTACCAGAGGCTAGGATGAGCAGGGGACAGAGGTTGGGGATAAAGAGTATAAACACAGGGCCGGGGGTTTAGCTCAGTGGTTCCGCCACCTGCCTCGCTAGCACAAGGTCCGCAGTTCAATCCCCAGTACCAAAAAAAAAAAAAGAGTATAAACATAGATTAAATAGGAGAAAAAGTTCTGGCATTCCATAGTACATTAGAGTACTAGTTAACAATTAGCTATTGCACATTTCAAAGCAGCCAGAAGGATAAATGTGTGAGATGATGGAGATGCTAATTACTGATTTGATCATTACACACTGTGTACACGCATTGAAATAACACTATATCCATAAATATGTATGATTATTTTGGGTCGATTAAGAATAATTTTTAAAACATTTTAAACTGTTTTTTCCAGATAACTGTCCAAGAAACATCTTGGGGTGTTAAGCATACACTGCCTATGATGGAATGTCGGGAACTGGAAGCTTGAGATTCCTGGGTCAGTTGTCCATTATGATTCCATTGCTCTGCATCTTTCCCCGCTGCCCCGAACCTGTTCCTCTAGGACTGGGCCTGCTACAGCCAGACACAGGATCAGTCTCCACTCTGAGCTGGGCCAACCTCTCCTAGAGCCATAGGTCAGGGTTCATTACCATTTAACACTCTCCTGTCTCACTCCATTCCAGCAGTTGGAAAGAACACAGAGCCTGGCGTGAGGTGACAGGCTGAGGTTGCAGTGGTGGCCCCAGCAACACAGCGAGAGCTAGTGTGTCTCAGGGTGACATGCTGCAAGTCCTATTTTGGTTTACTGGTGGCCTGCAGGAGCTGTAATCCTTGGCTAGTTTAATTGAACTGCATCTTAGAGAAAAGTGTGAGCAGCTGGGGTTTGGAAAAGAATCATACACTATGTAACTTACCCAGTTATATTCTCACAAGAGTTTGATTCTATTTCAACACTCATTAAAAAGAAAATCCAGTTATCATCTTGGATGTTTAATTTTTAGACTCAAAATATAAGCATGTTGATGTTAGTCTTTGGCTGGTTTAAAACACTTCTTTGAGGACAATATGTCTAAGAGCTAGTTTAGGCACAGTTTGTTTCTATACACTTTTCTTTTCATATTTCCATCTTACATAATGATGTCACCGTACAAAAACTCTGGGTAAGTTCCCAAGAATGATACCCCAAACCATGCTTCAAAACTGGCATTATAAAGAAACTACCATTGCTTAATGGGCCCAGGATCTCCATTTGGGGTTATGAAAATGTTTTTAAATTAGACAGAGATGGTGGTTGCACACCATTGTGGATGTACCGAATGTTATTGAACTGTATTTTAAAATATTTCAGATTATGTGAATCTCAATAAGAATATAAAAAAAAAGGAAAAAAGAACTACAGTAAGTCCCTGACTTACAAACTTTCAAGTTGCAAACTTTCACAGGTGTTCTGTATCTGACTCACTCTGTTAGACTTAGGAACAAACCTGATTTAAGGCACATTCTCCTGGGATGGAACTCATTCATTAAGTTGGGCACTTACTATATTGATTTTGTCTCTGCTACCACCAAGTGTTAAAATCTTGGAACTTGACTTTACTGCAGCCACTGACACGAGCCCCAACACCCTTTCTGTGTCAGAAACATGACCTTACAGCCATGATGCCCTCTGAAAGCCAGTTACACACAATCACAACTCATGCCAGCGTATGGGAAACTGCACAGTACTTAGCTTCACGTTGCCAGTGCAGATATTTTTAACTGAAAAATGAGGTCATGGTCCCCATTGCAGAAACAAAGGAGTCACAAGGAAGAAAGATTAATATCACAGAGGATCACTAAAATACAGTCCATTCGAAAGATTGTGGGCCTCCACAAGACAAGCACTCAGAACATCTTCCTAGCTGTCTGTGGATGCTGAGATTCTAAGTTACAAAAGAGGGCTGGTAGAGCATTTGCCTAGCATGAGAGGCCCTGGGTTCAATCCCTGGCACTGAAGGGAAAAAAAAGGAAGGCCAGAACTAAGCAAATTAGTAGTATTCTTTTTTTTTGAATGAAAAAAAAAATCCTTCACAAGTATTAACCATATTCTTTTTTAAGTGTATTGAGTTGGGGAGCCAGGCACAGTGGTGCATGCCTGTAATCCCACCATTCTGGGAGGCTGAGGGAGAACCACAAGCTCAATCAAGCCCCACTGGGACAACTTAGTGACTTGACCAAGACTCTGTCCCAAAATAAAAAGGGCAGGGGATGTAGCTTAGTGCAAAGGTCCTGGTTCAATTCCTAGTACTGCAAAAGTACAGATTATTGGTGTCAGATATTAATCATAAATGATGAAAAGTACCTCCAGCAAAACCATGTTTGCAAGCTACCTAACTCAGCCCTGATTACCTGTCCTTTGAAGCTTCACATTATGTACAATTGAAGATACTAACTGAAATTGGTTGACTGACTTGGTTTCCTCTCTAATTAGGTATTTACAGAGCCACAGTAGGACCATAAAGCTAATTGTTTTCCCGCCCTCTGGAGCTCTGCTCAGGAACTTACTGGCTTCAACAATGAAGGGAAGTTGTGGTGCTCATACCCTATCAAGGGGGAACAGGACAGGATGCGTATTTGACTAGTTAGGACATTCAACTGGCATAAGTAGAGAGTAGTGCTGATTCAATTAACACTTTTCCTACAACTACTTATACTGTGAAAGTTACTTGAATTTCACAATTATTTATAGGTTTTCAAACACACAACAGATCTCCATTTATGCTATTAGTCTTTGTGGTATTTTACGATAATGAAAATCTAGGATAATCTATGCAAATCCTACTTCTTTCTTTACAATATACACATTAGAAATTTAAGTTCCAAGATTTAGTGCAAGCCACCTAGATACAAGTTTTTGAAATTTGAGTTCTAAATAATTCTATTGAAAATCCTAAGATTTAGTACAAACTTTCAAATGTTTACAGAATATTGAACCTTATGGATGGATGCAAGAGACTCCTATTTAAAAGACATGATTTTAAAAAAATCTAAATTGACTCCGTTTATTTACAAAATTAGAGTTGATCCATGTTTTCCATTTATTGCCATATAGAAGACATTTTACAAAACAATATGGTCGACTTCTACTTTGATATCTTTATGTAAAAACTTCACAGTCAAAGAAAGTGATCATTATTAGTTATGAAGACATCAAAGTCCAGCTGGCATTTTAAGTATAGGGCACAAGATTTTTGCTATCCCTTTCTAAAAACTGTTGGCACGTTCATTAACTGCCCAGGTTATAAAAATCAGCATCCACTCCTTGACCTTCAACATATTTTTATATCTACCCTACCTGACATTAATGCTCGTAGACAAAACAGTGATACAAGAATCTAAAAAGCTTTTGGGCAGCTCAGTGATTTAAAACCAACCAGGAAAAAGCTCTCCCAGAATTATTTTTGTCCATTACCACACAAAGTAAAAATATGATAATCTTAAAAACACAAAGGAAAACAATTTCACTTTTCCTTTGAAAACGTTATTTGTTAGCTCTTAAATATAGAGAGAAAAACTAATTTTCTTGGGGTAGAAAAGGCTATTTCATGGTAAAAACATCAAGTGTAGTTGTACCAATGTCTCATTTAGGAAAGAGTATTTTAATTCAAAGGATCCTAAAATATTTCATCCCTACAAGAAAAGTTTAAAGCTAAAAAACTGAAATGCACTAAACTAAGTCAAGCATTAACATGTTCTACTGTTTTCCACATAACTCATGCTAAGGAACAGTAGTAGGGGAGGGAAGATGTATCTTTTTCAGCATCAGTCCCATTAACCAGGAAGCGCTGGTCCACTGGCAGGCCTCTGAATCTCATGACCTCCTTTCTTAAATGAGGGCCTAGACTAACCTCCCTTCCAAATCTACAGATTAACATACTTTTTTTTTTTCGATAGGTGCAAGAATTCTATTTTGTGCTATATGATTTGACTTAAAGAAAAACTACATATTTAAGGGGCACAGTGTGATGACTTGATACATATATAAAATGTGTAGTTTCAATGAATTTCCCTTAAAAGATAAAGAGTGGGATGAGGATTTAGCTCAGTGGTGCTGCTGCCTGCCTCACAAGGGCAAGGTCCTGAGTTGGAGCCCCAGTACCAAAAAATAAAAGTTATAATAATATCTCAAAGTATTTGTACATTACAAATTACTACACAAATGCAAAGGATTATAATAAATACAAGTTGAGTTTTCCCTGATAACAGAATCTGAATACTTTTAGAAAATATATGTTCTTTCTTGCCTCTTAAACTAAAAATAAGGTGATCCTTTGGTACCAAACAATTCTCCTACAGTATTTTCTTCTCTTGCTTCTAATAGTGTGTTTAATTGCACCAGGTCTGAGATCAGTCTAGAAATCTGACCTTTAATCAAGTGGAAACCAAAACCTAAAGAGCAGTACACTAAAAATCAGACTCACATTGGAAATGTTTTAAAAACAGAATCCTGGGCTCCAGTCCTAGAAGTTCTGATTATGTCTGGATTGGGACCCAGAAAAGCCCTACTGTTTTCAAAAGCTCCCCCAGGTAATCGCAGCAATTTATTAATTCAGTTTTGAGGACTTGATGCTTGCCCTGAATATATTCTCTATCACTTTAGTAGCTGCTAGTTTGTTCCCCCAGCATTCATCACAAGCACACTTGGAACAGACTGCCATGATCTTGCCCTAGAGTCACAGGAAGCTAGTCATTAACACCTATTTCAATCAAATTATACAACTGAATTTAGAGCTAAGACAATGCACGTAGATGCTGAGAGGCTGGTTCTACACCTACAACTGTGTTCTGCTTTACTTGTAGTCGGTCACTGATAAACACCAAGAGCATCTTACCAGTACTAAATAAAGGATGGCAGAACTCCAAATAACTAACCAGCTAATCAGTATTATTTAGAATATGTTTCTAGCAGACATAAGTGAAACATATTTAAAAAAAAAAACTACCCACTTCTTATATAAACCCAAAGACTTCCACATTTCTGAAGTCTACCATAAAGAATAAGTGGACTAAAACTACAATTGTTTAAAAAATATGTTCAATTAACTGTGAAAATATACATGTAAAATAGGTATACCTTTCTCCTTTAGGAGGTTTAACAGGCACAAGTAGAATTCATTTTCCATTTATTCTACCCAGAGTTAATTGTGAAAATGACACATGAAGTATTTGGTATAATATAGTTCTGAACAACATCTCTTCCAAATTTAACACCAAAACCGCACTTGGACTTTCCAGGTGTCCCAAGTGCATTAGGCGCTGCGGAACGTCGTCATGTCCTTTGGTTCTCTGCTTGGGACACACCAGTCGTCAGCCTCGTGGTTGGTGTTGTAATGCTTCCAGGCAGCTTTGTTATACACGGGGAGTCTTTCGATTGAGTCTGTTGACAAAGCCTGAAAAAAAGCAGGACCTCTAAGTCTTACATTTTTAGAAATTCATTTTTTGAGAAAATATTCACTGGCAAAAAGATCATTACAAATTAAATAATGCTTTATTGGTATCCTGTTAATCATAACGCCACCTACATATACTTTTAAGGTATACATATTTGAAATATGTTATTTACTAAGCTATGGCATTAACTGATGCGGATGTTGACTGAGCTTACTGCCTGCATTAATTCCAGCCAGCCTGGAAGATCCTGGATTGAAATTTTACATAAGTATAGCAGATGTCTCTTAGAAAGAATGAGCCAGATCAGAAGTTGGGTACTTGAAAAAGTCGGCTAAGAGCAAAAGCATAAAAAGTGGACATATGAACGTTAATATATGTATGAAGATTTAATATCTACTTCAATTACTGTTAGAAATAATTTTTTTTCAGTATAGTGACTATGCTTTTAAAATCTCATCTTAATATTATTAACAGCCATGTGGGATGGTGCATGCCTGTTAAGGCTAGTGACTTGAGAGGCTGAAGCAGGAAGACTGTAAGTTCAAGGTCAGCCTGGGCATCTCAGCAAGATCCTCTCTCAAAAAAGCAGAAAAAGGGCTGAGGATGTAGCTCAGTGTGATGGTCCTGTGTTAACCTCCAGTACCGCAAAATAAATAAATCAATTAAGTCAGTACATATAAAACTGTATCTAAGGCATCTTGGCTTTTGCACGAATGATTCTTGGCCCTGGGTTTGATCTTATGTTTTCTTCTGCCACTAAAGCCACCAATTTTAGTCACATCACATCTGATTGCTATGTCATACATAATTTCATATTTCCAATATATCACTACCTTTTTGTCTTGTTTTTTAAGATAGGGTCTCACTGTATAATTAAGGCTGGCCTTGAAATCAACATGTAGCCCAGGCTGGCCTCAAACTCCCAGTGATCCTCCTGGTTCAGCCTCTCGAGTGCTGGGACTATAAGCATGTGCCACCACACCCAGCGATATATCATTACCTTTACTACACTGTTCTATTTCAGCTTCCTGCAAATCACTAGAAACTGTGATAAACCACCTTCCTGAGTTGGGGGTGTGGCTCTATGGCAGAGCACTTGACCACATGCGAGACCTTGGAATCAATCATTAATATTGCAAAAAAAAAAGAAGGAAGGAAGGAAAGGAAAGAAAAAAATTACATTCCTTCCTATCTTCTTGAAGTTAGGACTTTTCAGTATTTCAACCTCAGACCACTGACATTCCCTGAGATGCAGAAACTATTAAAGTAGAAATTTCAGTCTTATAATGCAAAATTAGATCTTTGATGTTGATGGTTTTCATGATTTTTAAGATTTGTCTTCTATTTTTTTCCAAAATGGAACTAAAAACCTTTCAACTATGTGTTCTCTTTATATACTGTAGAATTATAGAATATTTGATCTATAAGCTAGATAAAAATGCCACATTTGGTGATAAAAAAATATTGCACTGATGTTGCCATTTTTAAGTTCCTCATAACTGACATGGTTAAGGAAAAACAGAACTATTATCTTGAAAGAATTTCTATCCTTTTCAGATAAACTTATTTTTTCTTAACTTCTCCAGCATTTCCTATAAAATTGGTGCCACCTTGTGGCCCAAACAAGCAACTAGCATCACTAAATAGGCACGAGTAGTGGCCTATTTGTGGTTTACCTAGGGCTTTTCCATCCCTGTAAAATATAATGAACCCTCCATAGGTGCACTGTGCACCACAGATGAGTAGGCTAAGTGCTTCTGGTCCCACCAGGAAAGCTACATGCTTACTTAGAGTCACCAGTGCTTGTTCCCAAATCTGTTTATGCAATTATATGTCACTGTAATTGTTTAACACTTAACCAAGTATTACAATAAACAAAGCACACACGCATGCACATGCACACACACGCACGCATGCACACACACACACAAGGGGAGGGTTATTTGAAAGCGATGATGAATGTTTTGGAAGGACTCATGAGGGAAAGTCACATAAAACTGCTATCTAGCTGACATGGTAGTGCACATCTGTAATCTCAGCTACTTGGAAGGCAAAGGGAGAAGGACTGCAAGTTTGGGGACAGCATGGGCAACTTAGAAAATTAAGGGCTACAGCTGTAGCTCAAAGGTTCAATCCCTAGAACTGCAAAAGAAATACATACAATAACAACAAAACACCTGCTGTCAGATCAGTCAGAAGACATCTTTAAAGGATTACAAAAATCTCCCAAAGGATAAAGTACTTGGTTATTTCTTTGTTTAAAAAGACTAAAATGGTAAAAATTGTAAGTACAGCTTGGGCAGGAAAGACAGCGTGTAGACCTCTCTGCACATCAACATCCACATCCATTCATATGCTTCCTGTTAAAATTACATGTGCATGGTATATTAACTTTACCTTTCCTCAATTTCTCTTCCTATTACCAACCACAGTCCTGATCACAACAGGTAAGAATGTTTCTGCAGTCAAGAGGATCAACTGCCAAAACAGGCAAGATCCCTTGTAAGTGTTTGTGTACTTAAACAGTATGAGGCAGAGTAAAATTTCTTGGTAGTCAAATTTGGCACTTTTTGTTATCATCAAAAAAAATATGGTTAAATCAAGAAGACTCTAGTTATTACCTTAATGTAGATAACAGCATCTGTACCGTAGCCCTCCAGGGAATACAGCTTCAGGTCCCCTTGGAAGTACTGTGCATACAGACGTGATATGGGCAACCCATAACCAAAACCAGCCTGTTCAGTGAGAAAAACAAGATTCTACTCAGAGAGCTCCATACTGAAATACTTTTCTAATTAAGATAAATCCCACTAGGGTCCTCCCCAGGGCTATCCGAGCCTGCATATGAGGGATCTGTTAACATATAAGTGTTAATAATGATTACACTGAAGTTCAGCTGAATACTACATTAGCTGATCCCCTCTGGTTATGTAAAACTCTTCATTCTTTCAGGACTTCTGGTAGTTTAGAAAAAGCATCTTGCTTTTTTCCTCATTGGCCCGGTCTAAGGTACCCTTTTTATATAAAACACATTCTCTCTTTTTAAGAGCAAGAGTAGAAAACACTTTGTTGCATCCTTGCAAGATCTATCTCCTGACTTCACATCATGGGTTTCCAGCCTGTGTGGTGAACCCAGAGGTAGCCTATAACAGGTCTACTCTCTTAATTCTCAGTGACAGGTCACTTCCTTGCTTAAAATCTTCAAAGCATACCACCACTCCCACTCTCCCCATCACTTCCTTAGTGATAAAAAGCCAAGCTTCTAAAAAGAGCTTTCAAGACTTGATAAGATCAAGTTCCTGCCTCCCACTTTCCCATCTAGCCCTTAAGTTCCTTGAAGATCATGTCTGCATCTATCTTCAGGTGTGTGGAATGACCTCCTTCTTTATCTTGTCAATCCTACACTTTAATATAAAATAAAAACACAAGGATGAAGGTAAAAAGCTTTCTATTACCAAGTCATATGGTCAGTGACATTCCACACAGCATGTTAGTTAGGAGTTTATATAGACTCGGGAATCAGTGCACTATTAGCAACCTAGGAGCTGGCTTTACTTTCCACCAATTCTTACTCGACTTTTCTAACCAGAGTTTCTGTTTATCCTCCAAATCAACTATCCAATTTCCACACTTCTCCCGACCCAGGGAGGCTGAGCTGAATGGACTACATCAGTGGATTCCCACGTCGGCTTCCAGAGGGTCCTGCCACTGGGGAGCCCCACAGAGGTCAGAGGAAAACAACATAGGTGTTCATTCCCCAGATTTTTCTGGAACTTTTCCTGCTTCTAGGTTCTATTCATTTTGTCTTCTCCTCATCCCTTTAATCCAGGATTGTTATGATTTATATCCAGATGTTCCCCAAGAGCCTCATTTGCTCACAGATGGGGCTTTTGGAAAGCGATGGATTATGGGGGCTTACAGCTGAATTGCTGTTAGGAGACAGGATCTGGGTGGAAGAGGTGGGTGGATCACTGGGAGTGTGGCAGGGACAGGTTCATCTTCTTGTACTGCACCTCTGATCCCACTCTCAGCTCTTCCTGTCTGCCATGCCCCTCTGCTCTGGTGTGCTACCTCACAGCCAGCCGACTGAGGACTGAAATCTCTGCAAACTGAATAAACCTTCCTCCTTTAAGTTGCAGGTGTCAGGTATTTTGTCCCAGCATCGAGGAAAGTGGCTAAGACAAGGCTGGTAACATCTTTGCAGTAAAAAAGGCTATTTACAAAAAGACTAATCATATGTAAGTGTGGATTACACTTATATATGGAGTACAGGAAGCCAGTCTCTGTAAGTAAGCCTTCCTTGAATTACCAAAATTTTCGTGACTTACACACCTCTCCTGAGGCCTGATACATTAACTGGTTCCAAAAATGGCCCTAAGACAACTGCATGAGCAGGTGATACCTGACCTGCTTTTTACTGTCTACACCTGAGGACTCATGGGGCTTCATCTATAATAGTTAACAGAGAAGAAAACAGCCTACCCATATATGTGCTGGCACCAGCCCTAAGTGGACCGCCCTTCACTATAAGCCTCTCAGGGCCAGGGGCAGGCCTGAAAGACAGGTGGAAGTAAACCCTACCAGCTCAGGCAGTGGCAACAGCCTGACTAGTCAGGAACTCAGAAAGAACAAAAGCAGTAACTGATGAAGAGACCTGGAAGACATGTAGATGGGTGCTCCTCTCTGAATGAGCTTTGCATGTGAAGATGTTCTGTCCATACAGAAGGTGTTCATGTAGGGGAAACGCCAATAACCAGGGGGACAAGCTGGCCACTCCTGTGTTTAACAGGGAGCCTCTCTCCAGCTCCCCGCTGCTTGATGACTGGGTCACTTACAAAGCAGTCATGGCAGCAGGAAGGAGGTTCTGCAAGAACGTAACAGTCTCACTCTGGCTAAGGCTACACAGACATAGGGAGCCTCTCCTATATCCAACCTCTATTTCCTTAAAAATTGCATAAATCCTGCACCCTAAAACAATACTTATATAATATTTATTATGCACTAGGTACTATAAAAAGCATCTTTACATACATTAACTCATTTAATTCTCACAGTAACTCCATTTCCAAGTTAGGGAAACTGGGCCTAGTAAAGTCAATAGTTGGTTCCCAAGGCCATACCTTTCTGATGTGGTGGAAGCAGGAATGAAAACAGTTTAGATTCCAGAGGGTGGACCAGTTCCCTATGCTACTCTACACAGAAATTCTACAGTACCTGTTTCCTACCAACACAGCATCTCCCTTCTCTCCCCCTACTTCTTAGGGTAAAACTAGACTTCTAAAAAGATGCCTATGTTCATCATTTATCTGCCCCATGGCACACAGATACCCATTCATGGGAGCCACATGTCTCAAATGGAGAAGCACATTCCTCAATCATTTCAAAAGTGGTGGGATGAGAGCCCCAGAATGTGTGCAGTGTCACACAAAAGTCCTGCTGATGACTTCCTAGAAAAGGGTATAAAAACCAGCTCCTTCTTATACCATATTTTATCAGGTTACAGCTTGACAATGATGAATATGCCAGAAGTTGCAAAGCCTAGAAAAATGGAGTTCTTCTAGAATTAACAGGACAAAGATTTGGCAAAGTGCTATTTTGTGAAAGTAGGGGCTAAAGATAAGATAAAGTCAACTGAAAAGCTGATCTTCGCCTGAAAATAGGTGACGCTAAGATCAATAAAAACACCATCAGGCAGAGGACCAGAGCCTCTCTCAGCACCCAGGAGGAGGCTTCCAGTCTGCCATACTACACCCCGCCCCCAAGCACAGAGGAGGTGAGCCTCACGGGTGCTGGCAGCACCCCACACCCCCACTGAAATGAAGAGACATGTAAACAAGTCTCTAAACCAGACTTCCAGATCACCTACAGCAACCCCAAAGGGAAAAAGCATGGAACACTTGGATACACATCCACCTGGACTCCCTGAACTGGCAACAAAAGAGGATCTGGAAAAAATGAAATCAGAAATAATTTCTCACATAACAGCAGAGATTGTGCTCATAGTGCAAGACATGATTAATAAATCTACAGAGGACACAAATAAAAAAATAGAGGAGCTGAGGAACATGATGGAATCCCAAATAGGAAACAAATGTAATCTATAAAACAGATGTAAACAGATTTCCAGATTAAAAACTCCACTGAAAGTCTATGCAGCAGGATGAGCCAATGTGAGGACAGAATTTCAGATACAGAAGATAAGATTGCAATTAGTGACCAGGAAAAGAAAAACTGTTTTAAAATTGTAAGGGAACATGAGAAATCAATCCAGAAGCTGCTAGACGATGCAAAGAAGAGTAACATAAGACTGATTGGAGTAAATGAAGAAACAGGAGTGCAGATGACATAAAAAACTGTTCACAGAAGTGATGGCAGAAAACTTCCCAAACAGGGGAAAAGAACTTGACATACAGATAAGTGAGGCATATAGGACTCCAACTAGCCTTGATCGAAAAAAATCTACACATAGGCATATAATTGTTAAGATTCCAGAAACCCAACAGAAGAACAAAATTCTACAAGCAGTTAGAGAAAAGAAACAAATCACATACAAAGGAAAGCCCATCAGAATCACAGAAGACTTGCCAACACAAACCCTCAGGGCAAGAAGAGCTTGGAGTGACATTTTTCAAGCCCTAAAGGAAAACGGCCTCCAGCCCAGATTGATGTACCCTGCAAAACTATCTTTCAAAATTGATGGAGAAATAAGATACTTTCATGACGAAGAGCACCTTAGGAACTTCATGAATACCAAACCAGTACTCCAAAGCATTTTAGACAATATCCTAGGAAAAGACGAGGATCACAACCCCAGGAAGCCCAGTAGAATGAATCCATTGGGTGCGACAAGAAATTAAATGCAAAGGGGGAGAATCCAACAAAAAGAAAAAGTAATGAAAATGATAAGTCAATACAAATCAGTTATAACCATCAATATTAATGGTCTCAATTCACCAATCAAAAGAAATAGACTGGGTCCCGTGGAACGCACTGAATCAGCCTGCTGCAGACAGGCAGGTCTGCGGATGCTGTAGCAACGTCCTGAGTTGCGTGTAACGCGCCGAATCAGCCCGTGCCCGGCAGCAATCCACTGGACACCAAGCCCATTCCGCCCCCATACAGCCACCTGGTTCCACACTACAAAGATGCAGAGGACACCGGACCACCAGACCACTGTACTGGGTAAGTTGGAGTCATCTTCACCTCCCATCAGGACTGGGACTATCTTCAGGGGAAGGGCAGCTGGAACCTGCAATACAACTCTGCAGAGTTCAACCCTACAGGAGGACAGGGAGTTCAACTTGGGACTTGCACCCAGAAATCTGCCTGAATCTCATGGGTCGGGCACTAGCTTGCTGAAACTCATTGACTTAAATCTGAACACTGCAACCCACGTTGTCTGTTGTGACAGCAGAGACATAGCCTGAAAGAGGCCCATCATCTTCATGGTTATTTTTTATTCCCAAAATTATTTTATTATTTTAGTTTTTTTCTCTTTTCTTTTCTTTTGCTCCTCTTATCTTTAATTTTTTTCCCTACTCTTTGCAAATATTTGTTTTTCTCTTCTTTTTTTTCTTTTCTTTTCTTCTTTCTTTTCTCTTTCCTTTCTCTCTTACACTCACTCTCTTGCTCTCCCACATTGATCATCTTCCCTTTTTGTCCCTGTTTTGGTCCTCAGTCGGAGTTCTTCATTTTCCTATTATTCTCTTTTTCCTCCTCACCTGTGCCCTCTGAC